ATAGATTGTACTGTAATTTTTCCATAAATAAATTAATTTAGTAAAAGAATTAAAAATAGAAAATAAAATAAAAATACAAAATGGGGCCAATGTATCTCACGAGAATTACCTGTGTTCCTGCCTTGGCGCAGTTGTCAGGATCTGCGTGTAGAGGGGTATCTCTGTAAGGCAAAATTATGCATTGCCGTATTCACCAGGCTCAAATTTTTGGAACTTCTCTCAAATGCTCTGCGCCTCTGCCAAAAGTCATCAGCTACACAAATTCACCTATATATAATGACAAAAATTATTGCCAACATTCTAATATTCAGTTTCTTTATTTAAGTATATTTAGATATTCTTTATTTTAAATAACTGTTATTTAAGAACATGCCCTTAAAGCCAACGTCTATTTTGATGTATTATTAACTAATTAATTAATTAATTATAGAACACCCTTTAATCATTGCATTATAACTTTGATCTTGTTTTATTTTTTCGTAAAGAAGAAACCCTAGCAGCTTTATTGTTCTTAGAGAAATATTAATTAAAATAATCAGTATATTTTTTAATCTAAATTGCTACATCTTAATATCTCCATTACCTTGCACGTGACATCTTAAATAGCCCGACTCATTTGTATAATTAAGCAACCCTAATTGTGATTTTGGAACCATGATTAAGATAGTGCAACACTTAATGGGAAGTTCAATGGCAAAATTTAGGCTTTTTTTGTAAATTTCGTTTATATTTAATTATATTTTAAATTAATATATTAAAAAAAAAAACAGAGCAAATTTGCTCTGCAAAAAAATACTTAATAATTTATAAAAATTATTTATAGTTTTTAATAATTATTTCTTTCATAATTATGAATTATTATAGCTGATGATATAAAGAATTAATACTGTGATATAAGGATTAATTAATTGAATCTAAAATTTATGAATAAAATTTTTTAACTGTAGTTCATTTCCTAATAATTAACATAAATTTAAATAGTGGATTTAGAAAATTGCAAGTGAAAAGACGAGACAGAGAGATAAGATGACCGAACGGTTACTTTCCTCCCACGTAAAATCTTCACTCTCATAGTCATGAGTCTTCTTGTTGTTGACAAATGCAGAAATTTTGTTGAAGTGGGCTCTTTAAGCAATAAAGTAAAGACAGTTCAAATCGATGCCGACAACATGGCTGATCCTCATTGGTCTGTCAAATTAATTTACTATTGATTTGAAACCACACCAAGCTGCACTCAATTAATAAATTATTAAGGTGATTTAATGGGTTTGATCACATCCCATCCATTAGTAAATTACTAGTTTACTAGAAGAATACTTTTTTAAATTAATAGTTTATTTAAAAATAACATGTTTATGTTAAATATTATTTTAAAAGATTTAATTTATATTTTTATTTATGTAATATATTAAATTAGAAAATTATATATAAATTTACACTTTTTATACAAATAATATATAAAAACGATTACGATCTCTTTATATTTTAATAGCATCTTATCAATTACTATAAAATCTCACCTATCATCCATCAACCATCACCTGATGAATAAATAAATCAATTCAACCCTTTTTAGAAGATGCTTTTTTTTTTATCTCCTTACGTTTTATATATTTTATATTGTTTCTTCTATAGTTATCATATATAAAATATTATGAACTGACAATAAAAAAAAGAAGAAAATATCGATATGATTTTTATTAACAAATGATATTATCAATGATATTTTTTAATTGATAAAATTTATTCATCATAGGCCATAAATAAACTGGTTTTTCTAATTTTAGTCATGTTAATAATATATTAATTCTATTTCTTAATTAATATAAAATGCTTTCTAGTTAATATATTTTTTATTTTTCTATTTGATATTATTATATCCCTAATCAATAAAAACTTATTCATAATTAATATATTTTAATTTTCCAATTTGATTTTTAAATATATAGTAGTATGTTTATTTTTAATTTATACAAAGGGAAAACCTAGGAGAGCATTTACAGTTTTTTCTTGACTTTTTTTTTCAATATATGTTCCTTATACACAAATATTGCAAAATATATATTCCATATTTTCCACTTAAAAAAAAAAACTACTTTAGTTCCATATTATTTTGTGATTGGATGATACTCTTTGTCTAGATATTTTATTTTTTTTTCATTTCAATTTTATGATTATCGTATTCAATTTTAATATAATTAAATGAGTATTAATTAAAAGGTAATTTAGTTAATTAAATTTTATTTTTTTCTAAATTTAATGCTTGTATTTGTAAAAAGTTAAAAACCGCAAATTTAATGAAATAGATGTAATAATTTAACTGATAGCATAGAAGTCTCTGAACCTCAAGTGGGTAAGGCGTAGCTGAACGTATGAACTTTCTTCTTAAAAAAACAAATAATAAAAATAAACTTTAAAAGTTTTTAGAATTAACTTCGAAGTTTTGTCGAGTAAAAACAAAAAATGCAATTACTTGGGAAGCCACTCTCTTTATCAGAGCCTGGTTTCGATCCAGGGACCTGTGGGTTATGGGCCCACCACGCTTCCGCTGCGCCACTCTGATTATTGATTATAAATTTCACATAACCACTTTAAATAAAATTTAGTTAACATAACCTCTTTAAATACAATTATCATCAAACTAATTCTAATTATTTGATCTTGTGCAAACCAATAATATATTTTGTGCTGGTTGTGAACGGAAACTTTTTTGCTTAGTAATTTTATTTTTATTATATCAATAAATAAAATATTTAAGGATAGATTCAGAAGTTAATTTCTTTTTAACTGTGTTATCGAGTGTGGTATGAATTAACAGTTAAGAAATTTCAGAAGTTTAATAATTTTGTAAATATATTTTTGTTCTTTCCTCCTGTTGTGTTTCTGTTTCACATCTCTGTCGTTTTCGACATTCCATTTTCTTCTCTGCAATTTCTCATTTCCAAATACAATATATTAACTGACGAAAAAAAAGAACCATAGAAAAGTACCATCTAGCTGGCACTGGTAGATATGAAAAATGCCAAAGCCTTTATTATTGTTAAAGGAAAAATAGTACTACTTGCAAACAAATTGTTTATCACTAGCTAAATACAACTACAAAAACACGCAAAATGCTGACAATTTTTAGATAGGGTTGTAAATCAACTAAGTCACTCACAACTTTGTTAAGGACCGTGCTCCATAAAAGCTCACTTGATCTCATTCCATAAAATTATTGAGCCGAGTTTTCAAATTCATCTAATAAACAAGCTAAATCAAGATTAATTAAATATAATATCGTTTTTATTTGATTAATGTATTTTAACTTATTTGGTAGATTTCAAGTTTGAGCTTCGATTCAGCTTGTTTATTCTGTGTCCGAACATTCGAGTTCCTGGTTAAACTCTATGTTTATAGTCCTAATTTTTAATCATTATTTTGAGTTTGAGTTTAAAAATTAAAATTCTATTGAATAAGGAGTGTTGAATTTTTTAATTGAATCGAGTTAGAAAATCATTATAGAATCAACTTCACTAAATTCATTACACCCCAATTTAGAAAAAAAAAAAAAAAAATTATTACACCCCATTAGTTATTTTGATTTATTGATTTTTGATTGAAAATTAGCGAATCAGACTACTAAATTATTAGATAGGGCTACTGTTTCGTTGCTTGATTCTATGAAGTGGGGTTTATCGCCGCCTCTTTTTTGGATGTACTCCTTTATGATGCTAATAATATATTACCTTCTAAAAAACACTTACTAAAAAAAAAAAAAAAAAAAATTGAAAGTCGAAGTTGCTCAACCTAAAAATTAGATTTGAGGATAAAGTAGGTAAAAAATAAGAGAATTTTTTTAATGGCCTTTAAAACGTGTAACACGAATAAATAGTGAATTTATAATTTTTAAATAATCGTCAAATTTCTAGAGTTTTTTTTATTTATTATTTTTTAAGAAAAATTCCAAGAGTTAAAACAATGGATTCGTGCTAAATATATAGGTATAACAATACCGTCAAATAGAAGATAAAACTAGAAAAGAAATAAATATAGGTTTTGATACAAAAGAATTGTTGGAATTGGAAAAAGGAGTTGTTCAAGTGTCTTTATAACGAGCAAGAGGATGTTTGTTTCCGTTGATTCATGCAACTTATATCTGATTGAACATTAATTATAGTTATTTAAAAATAATAATTTTCTAATTAAATTGTATAAATTTTAAAATTTTAATTAATATTTCTTGATTTATATTATACATCAAAATAAACAACAATACACTCAACATAAAATTAAATTTTAAAAAAATATATACATTATACATTATAATAAGTAAAATAATTTACTAAAATATTAATATTTATCGGCTAATCGCTGTCCAACACCAACTATAATAAACAACAACTAAACAAATCCTAATTTACAATATATTTAGAGGATCTTATGCCCAAATCTACCCTAATGAGGATTTTAAATAAATAAGAATAAGAATATAAAATACCTATATTCAAATGGGAACAAAACCCTAAAAAGCTGGAAATCTAATACAAAAATATAGAAGATGCACAAAATCTGACTTTCTAATTAAAAACCCTAATTAAATCAAAGTAGGAAACTCAATAATTAGCCACTCACGACTAATCTAGCCCTAAACTCAATTTTTGGATAGGTGTCAACGGAAGTTTAACTAATAAAAGCATTTCGTTTTATAAATATACTTCCTAGTATTTGTTTGAAAAATAAGTTTTCAAATTAAATTTTTACACAATTATCATAAATTTATTAACATTTATATTTTAATTTTTAAATAATTTTATGAATTATTATATTTACAACATAAATTGATGAAAAAAAAAGATTAGGCATGATTATAATTATACTCATGAGCTTTACACAGCTTTAATGATATTCTGCTTGAGCGTTTGGCTCTCCTTTACATGCTGCTGGCTTTTTTTTTTTTTTTTTTTTTTTTTTAAAAGAAACAAAATGAGAGTAGTTTCAGTCCCAAGACCCGACCAGACCATATCAGGAGTCTTTGTACGGTTCTTTGCCAGTAGTATAGTACTTTCACTAGCCCCATCAATTCACGTCTCTCTCAATTTCTGCACTTTCTCCCTCTCATTGGGCATTAGCCTTCTCCTCCCAGTCCCACTCTTCCCTACCACCACCTCTCTCTGACACCTGATTCTCTCTCTGTGATAAAAAGACCAAGAAAGAGAGAGTAGCCACATATTTTAAGTCTTGGCTATAGATGGTGACTGAAAAAGAGAGTCTTTGATGAACCCAACAAAGAAGAAGAGAAAAAAGTAATAAAGAAAAGAAAAGAAAGAAAGAGTGTTAATGTGCCAAAAGAAGAAGAAAGAAAGAAAGAGAGGGATAAATATAACGTATAACATGTTTTTTTGATTTGTGTTTTCCAAGAAAAGAGACAGAGAAACATAAAACATATATAGTTGTCTTGTTCACAAATTTGATAAATCTTTTTTCGCACAACATGTTCATTACAAGAATCTTTCTTTAACTTAACTAGCTAGCTAGTTCCATGGCTTTCAAGGCGTTTCTTCTTTCTGTCGTCATCTATCTTCCTTTAGCTAAACTCTGTCTTTCTTATGAGCCTCGCAACCATGAAGGTAGGCTATGGTTATGGACTAATGAAATCAGAAGCGATTTTACATAATTGGTTTCGTATTTGTCTATACAATTTGAAAGTCCTTTTTTTTATTTTTTTATTTTTTGGGTTCTTAGTGGAGGCTTTGATAAGTATAAGAGAAGCATTGGATGATCCACATGGTGTGTTAAACAACTGGGACGAGGACTCTGTAGACCCTTGCAGCTGGGCTATGATCACTTGCTCACCTGATAATCTAGTTATTGGCTTGTGGGTTTTTCCCGTCTAATTTTTATTCTAAATTTCTTTTCTTGGCCTATTTTAATGCGTGGATTTTGCTTATTATAGATTCTACTTCTTAAAATGTAATGTCAAATTCTGGGTTTTGCAGGGGCGCTCCAAGTCAATCTCTCTCTGGAACTCTATCAGGGACTATAGGAAATCTCACTAATCTTCGCCAAGTGTAAGAACTGAATGCTTCTTTATTGTTATTATTTTTATGTTTCCTTATTTTCTGCTTGATTGCTTAGAAAGGGAAAAAATTGGATTTCTGGGTTTCAAGTTCTCTTTTTTGTTCTGATTTCCAGTATAATATTTTTTGGTCCGAAGTCTAAAACTGAGTGGGATTTTATGATTTAAGAAAACACTTTTTCTGCAATCAAAGAGAGACAAAGTGTTTGTATCTGTAATTACTTAATTTAGCTATTTTTGTTATAGATTAGGTACCATTTGTTTTTGTACTTATGTTTAATGCTAACTGTTCTTTTCATGTTTCAATGTTTTGATATGCATGTGAAGGCTGTTGCAGAATAATAACATCTCAGGTGAAATCCCGCCGGAGCTTGGTACACTCCCAAAACTTCAGACTCTGGATCTCTCTAATAACCGGTTCTCTAGCTTGGTGCCAGATTCTCTAGGTCAATTACACAGTCTGCAATATCTGTAAGTATTATTGTGTTTAGGCTTGATCACCTGTTTGGTTGCCAAGAAAGTGGAGGAAACAGTAGAAAAAAGAAAAAGAAATGGCATGTCTTGTGTCGCTGTTTTCTGTCTCTGTTGCTTTCATAAAGTGGAAAGCTGAATGCGTATTAGGTTTAGATAAATAGACCATTTTTTTAGGTGTCCTAATTAAATATTCATAAAACACCAACTAAATGGATTTCCTTCTTTACTATATATCCATTCACGAGTCTTCTCTTTTGATATGGTTTTTTATGCCATCTTATGTACTGTGGTTGATTTTTGTCATGTAACGAGATTAGGAGGCTGAATAATAACAGCTTATCTGGGCCTGTTCCTGTGTCTTTAGCCAAAATCCCACAGCTCGCTTTCTTGTGAGTATTAACTTTCTTTTCTCTCTCTCTCTCTCTCTCTCTCTCTCTCTCTCTCTCTCTCTTTTTTTGTTTTATTTTATGTTTTTGTTCATTGAAAATCCAAACAACCTGCAGTATGTATATATTTCTGGTTCTTGAAAAAATATTTTTTGCTGAAACTTATGATTTATGGTTTTTGATTTTTTATTATTATTCTGGTGTTTCAGAGACTTGTCTTATAACAATCTAAGTGGACCAGTGCCCAAGTTCCCTGCAAGAACATTTAAGTATGCTTTATCTGCGGCAACTCATCTTTATTAGAATATTATCTAACGTGCCATTGGTTTATTTAACCTTTACTCTGTTATACTGTTTTACTGTTGTATTCTTGAAATGCAGTGTTGTGGGCAATCCATTGATTTGTGGAAGTGGATCCAATGAAGGTTGCTTTGGATTGGGCAATGCTGGTCCTCTTGCTTTTTCTCTGAATCCATCGTCTGGTAAGCAATAATACCTGTGCGATCTTTTTATACTTCAGACTATCTTTATCTGCTTAATGATTCTTGTTTTTCTTCTAATTTCACTAATTTAGGCAAACATAAGTCCAAGAAGTTAGCAACTGCACTTGGGGTTAGCCTTAGTTTTGTTGTTCTCCTGCTCTTGGCACTTGCATTCCTTTGGATCAGAAAGAAACAGAAAAGCCGAACGATACTTAATATTAGTGGTTAGTAATACCATGATCCCATCTTAGCAAATAAATATTCTAAACAAAGACAGAATAAACTTGTAAATTAAAGACCTCTAATTTGACTTTCGTTTTGCTGCAGACAAACAAGATGAAGGACTACTTAGCCTAGGTAATCTCAGGAACTTCACTTTCAGAGAGCTCCAACTTGCCACAGACAACTTCAGCTCAAAGCAAATACTCGGTGCTGGAGGCTTTGGCAATGTTTACAAGGGAAAGCTAGCAGATGGGACTATGGTGGCAGTGAAGCGGCTAAAGGATGTAACTGGAAATGCTGGGGAATCACAATTTAGGACAGAACTGGAAATGATCAGCCTTGCAGTTCACCGGAATTTGCTCAGATTAGTTGGATATTGTGCAACTCCTAATGAGAGGCTTTTGGTCTACCCTTACATGTCTAATGGTAGTGTAGCCTCCAGGCTGAGAGGTTCGTACATGATTTACCTTATTGCAACCCATGATAAAATATGGTGGATGTAATAATTTCACATTATAATTACTTGAGTTTTTGTTCAGCTGCTGCTATAATACTTGAAATGTGTTTGGTCTTGCTGAGAATTCTAGTTTGCATATATCTATAACTTCCCAAGCTTTCATGTTTCAAGTATGTCTGATTAGTTCTCAGTTTTCAGCTTGTTTACTTCTTTCTGCTTGACTCCTACCTTCATTCCCACCTTCCTTCCTGTGATTCATGTGCTCTGATCCCAACTTGTTTGTGAAGATGATAATGGTTTCATTCATGTTGTGCATTCATAGGACTTTAAAAATGGTAGTCAAATTCCTTCAAAAATTCCTTATCACAAATTTTCTTGAATAGACAAAATTATTTAAACAAGGGTTCACTGCCTTCCTTCACTTTCAATCTTGAATTCATAGCTATTGTGATCCCTATGGAAACTGTTTGTTGCCTGCCACTGCCTTCCTGGGCTAAAAACTCGCATCAAGTAAAATTTCAAGTGTATGAATGATTTTGAAAGCTATTTTTGGCAACTGCTGAAAAAGATTTTGAAAATATATTGTGATGTAAACTAAAGTTTTGTACATGAGAAATTTCATTTTCTTTCATATGACCTGAACTTAATTCATGCCTGCACTCAAATAAATTTTTGGGCCATTTTCAGACATGCATGATGTTAATGCACACACTTGAAGTTCCCCACTTTAAGTCTTTCTTTTTCATGTTGAAAATGCTTGATCTTAACTTAGGATTCATTTTTTGCCAATTTGTAAAGAATATCATATGTCTTTAGGCTAAAATCATTTTAATACTATTGATAAAGCCTGAAAAAAGTATCGAGCATATGGCATATCAAACTAATTATGTAGGTTGTCGCCTATCATGCTTTCTCAAGTTTAACCCGGATTTAACCAAAAAAAAAAAAAAAATTCAAATTACAGAACAATTTTTTTATTGACAATCATGTTTAGAGAATAAAAAATCATGCATTTTGTTAAGCTCATAGTTGAAATTCTTCTCTTCTGATAAATGCTTCTATGATGCTTGTCTATATCCTTGAAGCATTTTGATGGTTATCCAATGTCATTTATTGTTCATAACAGGGAAGCCTGCACTAGATTGGAACACAAGGAAGAGGATAGCAATTGGTGCTGCCAGGGGTCTTCTGTATCTGCACGAGCAATGTGATCCTAAGATAATTCATAGAGATGTGAAGGCTGCTAATGTGCTCCTTGATGACTTCTGCGAGGCTGTAGTTGGTGATTTTGGCCTTGCAAAACTCCTTAACCATGCTGATTCCCATGTCACCACTGCTGTCCGAGGCACTGTTGGGCACATTGCACCAGAGTACCTCTCAACTGGCCAATCATCTGAGAAAACTGATGTTTTTGGATTTGGCATTCTTTTGATAGAGCTCATAACTGGAATGAGAGCGCTTGAGTTCGGAAAAAATGTTAATCAAAAAGGAGCAATGCTGGAGTGGGTAAGTCTTATCTGCAACTTCTAAAACAAATGTCTTGAACGTTAGTATCTACCGAATTAACTTAGTTTGAGCTAACCCAAATAGGCTTTTAACTGTTTTTGAATGGGAAAAACTTTAGAAATTGACCTAATTTTAGGCCTTTCCCGTTCCAAATCTTTTAATTGGACTCTGTGATTTATTTGGTGCATTCTAAGACACATTTTTCACATCCATGTAATTGATCAATAGATGTCACCTAAAAATTGTGCTTAGAAATTATACATTCATTTTACCCTGCAATTTTCTTTCAATTTTCGTGTACCCTGATACGCCTTCCTAATTTTTTAAACTTTACATTGGACATGGTAAATCATCTAGTAGAATTTTCTTCAATTAGCATCTTTGCTTGTATATATATGCTACTAACAACTAGAGCAATAGGAAAAATAAAAAGTATTTAGGAAATCATTCCATGTGCAAAATTAGTATTATAAGATTATCCACTATGTTCAAATGCATGGCTTAATTTGATCCAAATATATTATATTATATATGCCTGAATGCTATTAGAACTGAATACAGAGATTGTACTTTTGTCTTTAATTACACTCTCAATAGTTGGTCTAAAATAAGAACATATATGCAATAACACAGGTGAAGAAGATACAACAAGAAAAGAAAGTGGAAGAATTAGTGGACAGAGAGCTGAAGAGCAACTATGACCAAATAGAGGTTGGAGAAATGCTGCAAGTTGCAATTTTATGCACTCAATACCTCCCAGCTCACCGTCCCAAAATGTCTGAATTGGTCCGGATGCTCGAAGGTGATGGCCTTGCTGAGAAATGGGCTGCATCACATAATCATAGCAATCCCTCCCCAAACCTCTCTATTACTAACGACAATAACAAAAGCACGATTCGTCCAACAACTGCATTGAAGCATGAAGAAAATGGTCATGATAGATCAAGCAATCTTTTAGGCATGGGAATGGATGATGATGATGACGAGTATTCTTTGGATTCCTATGCTATGGAACTCTCTGGTCCAAGATAGAACAGAAAACAATATAAAGAGGAATGATTTTCTTTTTCTCCTTCTTTGGTTAATTCTTTGCAAGTGCAAATTAACTTTGTTCAAGTATATATAACTATAGGTTTAGGTTTCATTATCTTGTGCAATGTAAATATGAAATATCCTTTGTTCATTTTCTAGCCAACTTGTTTTCAAAAAGAAGAATTCTAATATATGGTGGTGGGAAATGCATCGTATATAGTGTTACATTTCGTACATACTGTAGTAGATAAAGAAAAGCCATAATAAAATACCCTGTCCAAGTGGGGGTGGCCATGGTTCCTGCTTTTGGCATTGAACTAGTTTGGAATCGGTTTGATTTATGTAGCACAGAAACGGAAACATGGAAATGGACATGGGAAGTTTGCATTTTAAATATAACTTTACACATGAAAATAGATATGCGGAAACGGTTCTGAAAGAAGGAGATGCCAGCCAGCCATGGACATTAAGGTACCTGATGTATATAGAACCAGAAGATGGTTTGGTTCCGGTTCTAAAAATATTGGAAACATTTGATTTCTTTTTTGACTCGGTTCAAAAAAGTGACACTCTCCATATGAGACAGTGTCCTATAGTGCATACATAAGGAATGAATTTGATTAGGAATTTTTACTGTGATGTTGGACCTATTCTTGTGATGGTAACAAAAAATATTACTGTGAAGTGAAGGTGAGAGAAGTGTAAATTTGTCAAGTGACGTGAGAGTTGTTATGGGTCATTTTCTTATGATTCTTTGCAGGGTCACGCGGCTCTTTATTTGGTACTCTTTTTTCATCTTTTGGTCTTTCATTGAAAATAAATTTAAAATTTATTTGAATATATAATTTAATTAGTTTTTACTAGTAATTTATTAGTTTTAATAATTTATATCTTTATTAAGTGAAAAAAAAATTACATTAAATAGATCTCATACAATTTAATTGAACTTTCGCCTTTTCTTTTCAAAATTCCATTAATATGTTATGTTGCGATACTGAAGAATATTGGAGTTTTGGATTTTTCACAGAATTTAATTATTATTTTGCCTCTTCCATTTAGAATTTCAAATATTTTAATTTTTGATTTTCAGTTCAACATATTATTTTTAAACTGAGTACATAATTACTGATGTTATATTATAATATATTCAATAATTTTATAAATAATATGTATTGCATAAATAATATAATTAGATACTTTAAATACATTTTGACACTAATTTATTATGTATAGTTATGCACCGTAGCTCATTTATTAATGCGTTATATATTAATATACTACTACTCTTTCATGTTATTGACACCAAAGTGGCCTGTTTTGGCCAACCGAGCGAACCGAATATGGATTTCCGCTACCGAGTCGGTTTGAACTGAAAATGGTCCAGATTTTAATGAATTCAAATTAGCTTGAATCGCGGATTTTGGACATTTTTAATTAATGATTTCCTCAATTCTTATTAGTCGGTCAATTCGATATTAAACACTTCAACTTATAAAATTTCAACTATTAAATACTTCGACTTGGTAAATCATTTAATCAATGCTTCGACTTGTAAAATTAAATTAATAAAACACTAATTGAATAGTACAGGGGTATATTTATATATTTGCCTACAACAATAGCCAAAATGAGAGCAATACAGAATAATGCACCAGATATTTCTTTTTATTACTTTCTGATTTCTATTTTATACATAAATACCGTATATGATACATAAAAGTCTAAGGTGGCTAGCAGATAAAGCTTGAGTGCTATATTTTGCAGATTCTAAGTTATATCTGTGTATTTACACACAAAGTCTAGTTTTACTTACAGGTCAACACTTTGCAAATCTTGGCCGTCTGTGAAGGCTGATCACTGAAGACTGCAAGAGAACTTCCCTTCTTTTGTTTTCCATTAAGCAGTTGAATTATGTCAGCAACAGTAAAATCATATCACACCATCTGAAATTGTTGTTCTTCACCTAATATTTTCAGGAAGCATTAAAATCTTAATGCACTCCAAGCATTCAAGGAGAAAAGATAATCCATTGCAACAATTAAATCCTGAGCATTTAGAATTACCTGAAGTCGCTGCCAAAAGACTAAATTCACGCTCCAAGCTCCATTTAGATTCATTCAGATTGTTAATGTTTACAATATACTCCTGGAAGTAACCATTAAAGGTTATTACTGATATAGTGGCTCTGGAAAGTCCAAGGATAGGAAGATGATAAGTTGATAGAAAGACATTGAGAAGAAATTTCTAATGACATGTAATTATCCATAGAAAATACTACATATCTTCTTATGCATCAATATTAAGCTTATTTCTTATTTAGTAAGGAACAAAATTCCCTCAATAGGTTTGGACTAATGTACAATTGATTGCTACAGGATAGAAATTATGAGAGCCAGAATTCACTTCACTAATCAAGAGATATGCAGAATTAAAAATTAAGGAACACTGTAAAAATAAATAAAAAATATTTTGGCCATTGGGAGTAAGATTTTCAAAAATAAATTAAATATTATATAATTGTAGAAGATATTCTCTTGAGTAAACTTATTTACCCCAAACTTTACAATTTGTTGCAATTGCATCTCTTTTTTTTTTTTTAACCTATTGAAACCCCGCTTGATAGGTTTGTTGCAATTGTGCCCTCTGGCCAAAATTGAACAAAAAAAGAATACTATTTTATTATTTACCAAAAAAAAAAAAAAGAGAACTGATTTTTTCCCTAATTTCCCTCTCTTCCCACTAAGCCTAGAAATGTCGCGGAGAACAACCATTGCCAATGTCACTTCCTCTTCCACACTCAACCTCAGCTAAACCCAAAAAATCAGAACATTGTCAAACAACACTATTTACCCTTTGAAGCTAAGTATTCAAAGAAATGTTATTGAGAAGAAAAATTATCAAACACATTTACTTTCTCCCTAAGTTCTCACCTAATCCTTTTCTCTTTCTCCTCATAATCAACTCATTAAGATGGCAAGACCTGCACTCTCTTCTAAAACAAGATCCAATCGAAATCTGTACTTCTCTTTGGGTCAAATCTTCTTTTCACCTCCACATGTCACTTTCCTCTCAAAACTCAGGCCTTTGGGTCCTCCCATGCCAACAATCCTGTAATTACGTGACTAGAAATTTCCCCTCCTCGAAGTGCTCTCATCCCCATCCAAAATGTTACCTTTCATAGTCGCTTCAAATGGAACCAGACTCCTTGTATCGTCTGTAGCTCAAATGACAAGCTGTTCAACAAACTCATCACCAACGAGAAGCAAGTCATGAAAACACCAACTACTGATTTTACAGCAGCTGCCAACTGCTTCGTCGTGGTGGAGGCATTTTGACTAGGGGAGCTTCACGGGTGGTGAAAGAGATCTAAGAGTGAGACTTTGGTGGCTTTAGCATTCAGGGAAGAGATTCGAGTTTGTGAGAGGGGAGAGAGATTGGAAAAAAGAAATTAATTTTCTTTTGTGCAAATAATAAGATATTATTATTTCTCGTTCAATTTTGAACATAGAATACAATAGCAACAAACTTACCGAATTGGGGCATAAAAGTTAAAAAGAAAAATAGAGTACAAATGCAACAAGTAGCATCGTTTTGGGTAAATAAGTTTATCAAGCCAATTTTTTAGTTGATCATGGGAAAATAATTAAACATAATAAAAATTCAGTATAAATTATAGGAAAATATAAAAGATTTCTTCTTGATAAATGGTATACTGCCACATGTAACACAGAAAACTCACCTACAAGCAACAAATTTAGTCGATGATGTGTCAGCAACCTTGTCCACCTTGCGCACTACCAGGTAACTGTATCACACAGCCCGATTAGTGATAGTATACCAGTGCATTTAAAAGCAACAAGAAATGTAGGCGTATGTAACTAAGAGCTACAGACTAAAGCACGTCTACACCTTCAAGATACATGTATGAAATTGTACTTGCCCACCTAGAAAAAAAACTAGATCCATCACTACAGAGGTAAACTAGTAGCATGCTTAGAATGCCTCTGGAAGGAGACTCCCCCAATCTTTCTGAAAATTTACTCTACTAGAAGATCTCTTATTCAGCCGAAAACCAGCTCTAACTATGCCACATATGAAACAACTAAATTATTAATTGCTCGTTTCGGATTTGAAACAGATATATTGTCCAGCAATTAATAGTTAAATTATTTATTCTGAACAAAATTAAAATTAAAAAAAAAAAAAAAAAAAAGTAAAATAATTGGTTTCCGGTTAAACGCTGCTTTGGCTTAACTCTGTGATATTTGCTGAAGTGAACTCAGAAGCAAGATTGAGATATCTTATGTTCTTTAAACCATTTTCCCACTTTAGAAACCAATACTACAGAAAAGATAACACATATTTTTGTGCTGAATTTTCCTGTAGTTATTTTTCTGTTTTATCATTCTTGGTGATGAATTTGTGGCACTATTGTAAGCTAAACAAAGCAGTTATGATTATCATAAGTACATCAACATATTAATTATCTAAATTAATTTGGCTTCCGACCAATTCGATGCTAGACATCAACCATTCTAACCCGTTAATCGTATTCCCGTTAGTAATTGTTAGTTAGAAACTCACTCTTACTCCAGCTGGAACAGCAATTGGTAAGCACGGTGAGATACTGGAATCAGTACAGTCATTTACGAATATAGGTAATATTGGCCCAGTGAAACTACTTATCTTCTATTCTTGTGGAAAGAAAATTAATGACAAGAAAGGTCAGATGTTAGGACAAAACTTCAACAAGACAACAATGACCGCCAAAATTTTAGTGTATAGATCCGGGCAGAAATACTTCATCCTAATTATAAGATTTTGTAGTTCATACTCAGATTTACGGTCAAACCGCCATAGAAGACATAATAAAAGCTGAAGTATTGCTGCGACAAAGGAATCTGGAAGCTTGAGAGTGAAGGTCCAAACGCAAGAAAAATGTTGGATGGGTATGGTCCTTCTCCGGAAACAAAGAGTGCCGCAGGAAATAGAATGCAGTGAAAGTAAGGATATGAGTTTACGAACAGCAAGACATAATACATCTAGAATCGCTACATAATGAATCAAGAGAGCAAACACAACTGAAAAAGAAGACCGACGATCAAAAGCTAAAGTCAAACATGGAACTGGCCAAAATCTTGGCCTGGCTAACTAGATCAACGCTGTAAAATAAAACATAAAATAGCAACAACAAAAGCATGGTCTTCATGACTGTCGGCAGAATGAATTAGTTTGTAAGTTATTTTCAGTTCACATGTTTCAGTATGCATATAGCCAAGACCAGACCCAGAGTTTTACTTTCAATCTAATAGTTCGTTATTCCAAATAGTTTCCTCCAATCATGCCTTTTTTTTTATTGGTATGTTAGACCACTAAACAGATTCCGAGGCAATTCATGTGGAACTCAAATGAGAACCTCAAGACCGAATCTATCACTGTCTATGAACCAACATGAATTAAAGTGTGCTATGATGAGACTCACATACCCAGGTGGCACTGTGAAAATCAAATACAGACTTAAGTACAATCACGAACGCCTAGATAACCTCTGATATGTTCCGCTGTTCAGATGGCTGTACGAATGTAGCATCATGGAAGAAAGGGCAATGCGCCAGTCATGGTGCACGAGGTGATGCACTATCTGCAAGTAATAGTTCAATACCATACATAAATAATAGCAAAGTTGAAAAAAAAAAAAAAAAAAAAGAAAAAGAAAGAGGGAAACGAAACAAAATTTTGTTCAGTCCCAATGGTTGCGATAAGCTACAAAATTAGTTCCAAATACAAAAGAAATTTATAAGGAATATGTAACAGAAAATAAACAACAATGATCTGTCTTTCTAGCTGCGAGATCCTTGTAACTTTCATGAGTCGCATCATAATGAGCCTAATTTTTAATGATGAATTCATCAACAGAATAGGTCGTCAGATTATTACATCTATCTGAGAGCTTGAACTTATCACACTCCAGTGTATAAAGCGAGAGAAGAGAGAGAGAGAGGAGAGAGAGAGAAGGGGGGGGGTGGGAACCAGGAAGTTAGATCATGATCGAGCAAACAAATCAGTGAGTTCTAACTCCATATAGATTATTATGGCGCATATTGTATCATTTTCAATTTTGCACGCAAATGTGACTGGAAGTCCCAAGACTTGGACACCCAACTGATCCTTTATGTACTTGGCAGAAAACCAAGAAAGCAACGTGCAAAACTAGGGAGAATGGACAAAGTCGAGGAATAAATGAAATTTCAGGGAACTTAAATAAGTAAGAACGTATGTTCGATCAGAACGAGAAAAAAAAAAAAAAAAAAAAAAGAAGAAAAGAATGAAGAATAATCTAAAATTCTGTAGAATAACAAAACATTGCCCTTACTTTGGGACAAAATAAATTTCAGCAGTAAGGAGAAGGAAAATATTATACCAAGACAAGAATTTAGAGATCGGAACTTTACTAAGAAGTCTTCCGTTGAAATGAAATGACAGGTCTTCCATCTAGAGTAAAAGTTCTGTTGGATTAAGATCCTTATAAAGGGTGAAGTCTTGAAGTCCAAATTGGAGTTTTTTTTTTTTTTTTTTTTTGTTTTTTTTTTTTTTTTTTTGGGGGGGGGGGGATTGGAGTGTTGAGTTTTAAGCTCTTTTAAAAATGTAAGAATTTTCAAATTTTCTAGTTCATTAAATCATCCATGGTAAAAGGAAAGGATCTATCCTTGCCAACCACGGTTAATTACTAAAAACTAACAAAAGAGCCACTAAATAGCAACATCAAACAGACATACAAGTCTATCATTCACAAATCAGATAAACTCAGTTCACAGGAAGCGAAGAAAACAATATTAAATGTCAATCAACCTCGAGAATAAAATCCAAAGTGCAAAGTGTCATAAGTAGAGTGTCAAGTAAATTATTTCAAAAAAACGAAGTACATTCAAAACCACCTTCTATTGTTGAAATGTATCAAAGTGCTAAATATTGGCAAGAATATTAAGTCAAATAAATATAGTCTTTTCCTTGCAAACAAACAAGCCGCAACGATAGAGGCAGTTAAATCAAAACGATAGAAATTATATAAGAACGAAGTACATGATAGGTGCAAAGCCAACTGTATCAAAAATTCAATATAGTGTATATTCTGAACTTTACGTTTAACAATCTTATAAAATCAAAAGCCATGTACCGGACAAAAGATCAACACTGAGAAGCAGATAAGATAATTTATTATAAATATACGTATAGGAGGGAAGATGCAAAATAGGGCAAAAAAAAATAAAGATCATAGCGCGGCAAAAAATCCAAGAAGATGTATTCTTTCTATTAATCGACAGAAGGGATGAAGTTAAAAATCAATCGAAGAGCAGTCGCTGATGATGGCACAAACAGAGACGCCGGTGGGGATAACAGAATGCTGTTTCAGTCAATTCAATAATCTACATGTGATCGAGTAAGCAATACGTTCACAACAAAAATACCTGTTCACCAGCTCCAATAATAGCAAGAAGACTAGAACTGTAAAGCATTTCAACAATAATAAAAGCTCCAACAGCTACAAACACCGAAGTAAACGCAATTTGAAAAATTACTGTACAGAAAAACTAAATAGAAAACCTAAATTAAATAAGGAAAGTAGAAATTGATAGCTTACGTCGTTCATAACAGAGACGGCCTGTATTAGGATCGAATATTTTGAAGCCATCCTTAGTGCTTATTGCAAAGCCACTGCATAAACACAATAATATTAAATAAACAAAGAAAAGAATAGATTTAAAAATCTGGTAATTTAGGCATACTGCTGTACCTATTATCTTGATTGAAAGAGGCGCAGAGAATGGAGGAGTTAGAGGACTGGCCAGTCATTGTTGGAATTGCTGGTGGCATAGTTGGGGAAGAAGATAAAAATTTAACTTACTTATATACTTTTAGGTCTGGCTTGAACTTGAAGAGAACACAAAACGGAATATATCGAAATAGACAGCGTTATAGGGGATGATGGTTGGCCAGATCGTGAGCTGTTAATGTATTCTGTGATTGGCTTGATCGTGATTGATTAGAAAAGTGTATAAAAAAGAAGGCCAAATTATAGAAGAAACAACAATTTTTTAAAAGTTTTTAAATTTTGGTCAGTTGTTTTAATTTTATTAATTTTTTTCTCTAATTTGCAGAAATTATTTTCCCTAAGTTAGCGACCAAAAATTAATAACTAAATAGGTGAAAGGTTGTTGCTAAAAATCAGTCCAATCCGTTTTAATTGATTTTGTGAATTTTTAAATGTTGATTTTAGACTGTCCCTGATTAGTCTAATCGGTTCAATTTTTTATTTCATATTTATTTATTTGGTAGCTAATTAATATATTTAGTGGCAAAATTTTTAATTAAGTTAATTAATTTGCGTATCTAGTAGCAAAGCCATGTCAATTTGATTTCACAAGAATTTTTAAAAATTTACCTGTTGAAAGCCACAATACATTATAACCATTCTGCAATTCCCCAAACACAGAGATAAACATGATGAAGGAAGCATAAATAAATTGAAATCATAAAAGAACAAACAATATACACAGAGACACAATGTTTAAAAACTTGTAAAAGAAATGCGATGGGTAGAGCTACCCAGCTGATGACAAATCATTAAATTAAAATAAAAGAAAAAAAATATTTTTTTAATAGGAAGTGAACTATTCAAATGATATTTCTGCTGATTCAATAGAAATTGAACTTGTTCTTGCATTATGCACTTCATTTCCAACAAGTTTGTCTTTGATTGAAGCGAGCTGTCGTATGACATCAGGAATGCTCATTCTTTCACTTGGTGATGCAATAGAACAATCGACTCCAATTTGAAATATTGAAATCAAGCACTCTACTGATACATTACGAATTGCTTCACCTTTTTCTGAAACAAGAACTGGATCCACCAGCTCCACCACATTATTAGGCAAAGCAACCTTGACAAAGTTATGAAGATTAAAAGATCCGTTAAAGATTTCATCGGTAGGCCTCTTTCCTGTGAACATTTCCAATAAGAGAATTCCATAACTGTACACATCACCGTATGTGGATACCTCATTACCCATTCCATATTCTACAATTTATTCAAAAGAATTATTGGTTAAGAGAATATAAAGTTGGATAAGACGATGATAGAGTTACACTACTAATTAGAACATTATAGTTTTATGTAAAATCAAGATTACCTGGAGGAGCATACCCAACTGTTCCTCTTACTCCAGTAGAACTTGATTCACTATTGTGATAGATTGCTTCGACAGGAAGGAATCTAGCGAGCCCGAAATCACTAACATGTCCTGTCAGTTCATTGTCAAGAAGAACATTGCTCGGTTTTAAATCACGATGAACAATTGGTGTTTCGCAATTATTGTGGAGATAATCAAGAGCAGAAGCAACATCGATAGCAATATTTAGTCTTTGAAGAATGTTCAATTTCTTTGTTGCCTCATTTTCTTCATTTGTGCTTACAGTTGGATGTAACCAGTCATCTAGGCTTCCATTAACCATAAACTCATAAACCAAAGCCTTAAAATCATTTCCATGGTGATCTACACTTGAACAAGCAGTTAGTACTTTAACAAGATTCCTGTGTCTAATACTTCTTAAGGCTTCACATTCAGCAAGAAAACTCTTGAAAGCTCCGCGTCGCATAAGGTTAAACACCTTGACAGCAATTAAGGTTGCTCCACCATCAAGTGTTCCCTTATAAACAGAACCAAAATTTCCCATACCAATCAACGCAAAGTCACAGCATAATGGTTAAAACACCTTTGACAGCAATTAAGGTTGCTCCACCATCTAAGTGTTCCGCTTATAAACAGTAACCATAAAATTTTTCCGTCATAAACCAATTGTTCATAAAATATATAAGAAGAGATATCCATTTGGTAGAATTTATGACAAGCATGTTCGAAATTAAGATAATTCCCAAAACTTTTTGCTTAATCTGAAAAATTTGAAATAAACAACAGGTTCCTATTTCTTAATTTTGGCTTTAAACCTGATAAAGAAAACAGAACTCGATAATACCAACTAAGCGCTCCTAAATCACAGAAATAATAGCAACCACTAAACTCAATGTAGGATCAATCTATTTCTTAATGACCTTAAAAAGGGATTGCACTTAGGCCAACTGAAACTTAGTATTGCCTCCACAAGCATATATTTCCTTCAAACTGAATAAGCACTTTGCATTCTCAAAATGAAACTTAGGTATGCCTCCACAAAGCATATTATTTCCTTCAACTGAAGTAGCACTTGCATTCTCAAAAATGCCTTTAGTAGGCACCATGCCCTCAAAATTGTTGTAGGAGAGATTCAAATATTGCAAAATTCTCCAATGTGACAGAAATTCTGGAATTTCACCTGATAAATTATTTTTAGATAAATCCAAAGCTTGAAGAGCCTTTAATGAACTCAAAGCTGCAGGTATTGACCCTTGGAAATTGTTTCCACTCAAGTCAAGTGTTTCCATGCTTATACAATTACCAAGACTACTAGGAATCTCACCAGATAATTTATTCTCGGAAACATCAAATTCACCAAGGTTTTTCAGGTTTCCAACTTCAATAGGTAAATTACCAGTAAAGTTATTTTTAGATAAATCAAATTACCAGTAAAGTTATTTTGAGATAAATCAAGATAAATAGACAATGAAGAGAGATTTAGGACTTGTGAAGGTATGGAACCACTTAATTTGTTTTGAGAAAGATCTAATCCAAGCAAGTTTTCACATTTGCCAATATTTGATGGAATACTACCTGAAAGGTTGTTTTCAAAAGCAACGAATTGAATTAAATTCGTTAAGTTTCCGATGGAGGATGGAATTTCTCCTGAAAACATGTTATTGTTCAAAGCAAATACAACTAGATTTCGAAGCTTTCCAATACCATCAGGAATAAAACCTGAAAGTTTGTTATTCCACACCTCAAAATCCTGCAGGCTTACAAGATTGCCTACGTCAGATGGAATGTTTCCAATTATTTGATTGTTATCGAGGAAAAATCTCACCAAACTAGTTGAAAGATTGCCAATGGTTTCAGGTATCGTTCCTCCAAAGTTATTGCCATTAATAAGCAATTTTTCTAGCACAGTGGCATTGAGAAGAGAGAAAAGGAAACTCAAGTCGTCAGAATCCCCATTTCCCAGATAGTTTAAAGTAACAATAAAAGCACGAAGTTTATTCAACTTTGCCAGAGAAGGAACTTGTCCAGTAAGCTTGTTTTCTAGCAAAGAAAGTATCTGCAAATTAGTGGCATTAGAAAAAGAAGAAGGGATTTGTCCAGTGAACTCATTAAAATTAATAGCAAAAAATCTAATCTTAGGAAGTGAAGAGCCTAATTCTGAAGGAAGATTTCCATGGAGATGATTCTCTCCTATCTCAAAGTCTGTTATGGAGGAAAGATTAAAGATTGATGAAGGAACGATACCTGAAAGCCTATTTGAATAAAGACTCAAGAACTGAAGATTGGTTAACTAGCCTAAACAGTAAGGTACAGTTCCTGCCAAGCCATTGAAAGCTAAGGAGAGTAGCAGAAGCTGTGACAAATTTCCAAGTGAATAAGGGATAGTTCCTGATAGATTGTTTTCAAATAAGTAAAGAACTTGAAGTTTCGATAACGAACCCAATTTTTCAGGAATATCTCCTTTCAACTTATTATTACGTAAACTTATAACAATGAGATTTGAACAACTTGATATATTACTTGGCATTTTTCCACTCATCGAATTGTTAGTCAGTCTGAGTTCTTCCAGTCTTCTTAAGTGACCAATCTGCTCCGGGATTTGATAGATGAAGCTGTTGTTGTTTAAATTCAGTATCTTCAAGAAGGTCAAGTTGCGAATGTAAGGTGATATAGAGCCATCAAGTGCCAAGGACTGCAGGTTTAATTCCATGACTCGCCGGTGTGACCGACCACAGGTTATGCCTTGCCATTGACAGAAATGGATTGTATGATTCCATGAGCTTAAAACCTGAAATGGGTCTCTGAGTTATTTTGGCTTTGAATTGAAGTAAGGCTTTGAGGTCAGTCTCATTGCTGGTAGAAGCAAAGGTAGTAGAGGTAAAGAAAAAGAGAAGAACATAAGAACAATAAACATAGATGCAAAGAGATAAGGATGTAATATGGTTTTTGTTCATAGGAGAAATGAAGTAAGAAAAATGAATAAAGAATTGAAAGATCATATGAGAAGATAAATGGATGAATGAGGGTACATTTATTTGGTGTATTAAGAAGAAATGCAATAGATACAAGAAAACAATGGGTTTCAAAAAAGTTGAAATTTCATCCAATTTCACACTTTATTTATTTGGCTAGGTGAGTGTGTGTACAGTACAGGACTGGATGGAAGTTGAGGTACATTTAATTTGGTGTATAAGAGAAAAAATGCCTATATATACAGATGAAATACAAATGGTTCAAAGTTTCTGAATATTTCAATCCCAATTTAAACACATTATTTATTATGGCAGGTTGAGCTGGAGTGTACAGACAGCACTGATGGAATTGAAGGTACATTAATATTTTACATTTATTTGGTGTATTAAGAGAAATGCCATAGATACAGAGAAAACAATGGTTCAAAAGTTTGAATTTTCATCCAATTTCACACATTATTTATTTGGCAGGTGAGTGGTGTGGTACAGACAGGACTGGATGGAATTGAGGTACATTTATTTGGTGTATTAAGAGAAATGCCATAGATACAGAGAAAACAATGGTTCAAAAGTTTGAATTTTCATCCAATTTCACACATTATTTATTTGGCAGGTGAGTGGTGTGGTACAGGACTGGATGGAATTGAGGTACATTTATTTGGTGTATTAAGAGAAATGCCATAGATACAGAGAAAACAATGGTTCAAAAGTTTGAATTTTCATCCAATTTCACACTTTATTTATTTGGCAGGTGAGTGGTGTGGTACAGATAGGACTTTTTTAATTTCAATTTTTGGTGTTATCTTTAGACCCTCTGTATTGGGTGGGTGGAGGATCCATAGTAGTATCAGTTTGACATGGGTTGACTGATTTAGTCGCCCGTCAATGCATATAAGAATTACTGTTTATGAGTAAGACAAGATATTGAAAAATATTAAAATTTCGAATGTTTATCCATAAATTTTTGCATAAATTTTAGTTTGTAGTTCACATGCACAAAATAAATCTAAATTACAACCTAATTTAGACTTCGATTAATTTTTTTTTTCTCCTAGATACTCGAATTAAACGTTCTTAAATAGATATAATAATAGTTATTTTTTCCTTTAAAAAAAATAGTTATTTTTTTTGTTAAAAGAGCTTTGTATATTTAAGGTTTAATAAATTTTTCAAAAACATATAAAAAGAAAAAATGAAAGAACAGCTTTTGAAAAGAAATTTCAAACCCAAAAACTATTGGAACAAAAGAAAAAAGAGTTCCCTAGTGCTTTTATCTGTGTTTCCACTAACACGACTGTGAAACTTTTTTTCAACAATCGTAAGTGCTCCACTTAAGCAGATAATGGACAATCTTTATAGCAATTAATTATTGATCATATGGAAAGACTTAAGAGAAGAATGAGTTTCCTATACTACAACTAATGAAATTGTTCAGGTAAATTATAAGATTTTTTTTTATTTTTTTGAAAATGATTATTTGATGAAATTTTATTTGAAAATGATTATTTGATAATTTGACTTCAATAAAGTACAAAAAATATAAATGACTTTAACAAAATTTCTCCAAAAACTGTCAACAACACTTGCATCAATTTTAGCTTCAACAGCTATAGCTGTAACTTTAACACTCCTCCTTGATGCAAATTTTAGCTTCAAACAGCCTATAGCTAGTAAACTTTAACACTCCTCGCTTGATCAAAGCCACGTTGAAGACAACAACGCGAAGTCTATTCTCTAAGAAACACCAAGTCTATTCCTAAGAAATTCAAATCTTGGTTTTTGCAATGCCTTGGTGAAAATATCTACTGTTTGGTCTTCAGAACTGCAATGAACAACCTAAATTTTATTTTCCTTTTCAGCTTCACGTATTGCATGGTACTTGATTTTTTATACTTGGTTTTTCTATGTAAGATTGGATTCTTAACTATAGTAACAGCTGATTTGTTGTCACAAAGTATTTTAGTTGGATTCTCTTGATGAAAATTCATAATCATCTTCAACTCCTCCTCCATCGCAGCTTTCCACTCAGGCAATTTTAAGGCTTCATCCCTTCAATTCCACTTGAGTTGGTTCAGTCTGAGAAACATGTAGCATCTGCTTAGTAAAAATTTCATCTAGGGATCTAGTCCCCTCCTATATTGCATATAATCATCTTCAAATTGATTCTTTTATCATTATCAACAGGAAGTTCTGGACTCGCTCTTGCTGGAAATGATCTTGTTCAAGAATTGATTTAGAATTTTCTGGTTCCATTTTATTCCAATCACATTCACCTTTCTCATCGAATTTGACACTCTTGCCGACATACACTGTTTAGTAACAGGATCCAAAATTCTGTAGGCTTTGGATTCATTGTTATTTTTAACTACAGATGGCAAATCAGCAACTAACTTCTTGGATTACAGCAATTTTAATGAATTGAGATTAGTATGACCAAGTCTCTTATGCCACAAATCAGAGTCTTCTTTATAACTCAAACAAGATTCTTCTTCGAAGTTTCTTAAATGTAGAGGAAAGCTTCTCCGTTTCATTTTGACAGCAAATAACTTTGAGCCAGAAGGATCACTTATTTCACATCACAGTTTTATCTTTAAAATAGCAAAATGTAATTTCTTATACAGCAATGAACCAACCGAATATAGCTTTGAATTTAGTTCCGGTACGTAAAAGAACATCGGAAACCAACGCTTTGTACTAAGGAGTTTGTACAATCACAATCTCCTTTGCCTTTAACATCAACATAGCCTACCATCTCCAAGTCTACTTTTGAAGAATAGTTTGTATCCAAGCTATCGAAATTCACCAAATTTGGTGTCATATGGTTAGTGCAGCCACTATCAACAAGCCATGCTTCTTTATTAGCTTCAATTGAGACACCACATTTTTCAATTTCATTTGCAGCAAATAGTTGTTCTTCATACTTTTCAGAATTTTCGGTGACTTGTGCATGATAGGCTTGTGTTTATTGATTCTGGTTTGTAGAACAAACTTTCTCGGTGTGACCAAATTGCTTACAAACCTTACATTGAGCTCCAGGTTTGAATTAGCAGTAGTTCTCAGTGTGGTTTGGTTTTTCGCAATGTGGACAAGGTGGAAATCTGTCCTTCCTCCAATTTTTCTGAAATTCTTCTTCATTTTTGGTTGTTGAGTCACTACAAGAGCCTTCTCTCCAAAGATTTCTTCTTCCCTATAGGCTTTTCTTTGTTCTTTTCTTTGTTCTAACTAGCTTGTAGAGCATTTGAAAAAGCACATTCAATGATATTTGTGAACATTTCCAAGTATCGCTCAAGAGAAGAAATCTTGGCTTCAAATTTTTTGGCTTCAAATTTTTCAGGGAGAGTCACCATAACTTTCTCCACAATTCTCTTCTCTTCTAACTCTTCTCCCAACAATCGAATTTGGTTTACAATTTTCACAACTCTATCAATATAATCTTTTACCTTTTCATTGTCCTTCGTTTTCAACATTTCAAATTCTTTTCTTAAATTAAATACCTGCATCTGTCTAGTTTTTTCAGATCCATGATATTCAATTTTTAACTTCTCCTAAGCTTCATGTGCTGTCTCACATGTCATAATCTTGGTGAAGATAGGATCCGCAACAGCTGCATGGATAAGCTGCATGGATATAGGACAGAGCTTTTGGAGCATTGGCAACCTCTTCTTCATGTTGTCTAATCTGCTGAAGGGTTAGATTTTGATTAAGAGGTGGAGGTACTCTGTTTTCCTCCACATACTGCCATAATGCAAGCCCTTTAAAATAAGCTCTCATCTTCTTAGCCCAAACATGATAGTTTTCCCCATTAAAATGAGGTGGTGAAAGAGACATGTTGCTGGAAGCCATTTGAGGAAAAGCAAATAAACAAAAAACTTCACAAATTCTGGTTTATTTGGTGGCTTTCACTATGATTTTCACTCAAATACACACACACAGCCCTTTGAGATCAAGGTTGATCAAAGGTTACTCTGACACCCACTTGTTGGTTAGAAGAGCAGAAAAATTAAGAAGAGAAAGGAAAAAATGCTGAAGAAGGAAAAATCTAACAAGATTTTGTAAGTGTGGAGAAACAAGTATTCAGCCTCATCATTTTCTATTTCATTAACACGCAATAATGAAATATTTATACTAAACTTATTCTAAGTTTGTTCACCAACCTTCCCATAAAGTCCAAAGGAAGTTTGTTTAAGACCAACTTAAATCAAGGAAAAAGTTTGTTCACCAACCTTCCATAAGTCAAGGAAGTTTGTTTACCAAACTTAAATCAAGGAAGGTTGTTCACCAAACCTACCTAAAAGTAAGGTAATTCAATTACTTCTTGACTTCAATAAAGTACAAAAAATCTAAATGACTTTAACAAAATTTCTCCAAAAATTGTCAACATCACTTGCATCAATTTTAGCTTCAAGAGCTATAGCTATAACTTTAACAACAACTATAATTGACAGTAAAAGAGCCACATGAAAATTATAAATGTAATAGTTATTGGATTTTCATTCAATAATCCTCCTTGAATATTAGGCCCATAATCCTAAAACTCTTTCCTTAATTTCATTTTTACTAGTTATCATGATCTTTTCATTCCTTCTCTCTTTCTTCTAATAATATAATGCAATATGAAGCCATTTTCGTAACCCAAATACATATATATATGAAGCATAACTAGAACAAGCTTTTACCCTTCCAACTGCCAAGACAATTCAATCTAGACATAATTGACAAATGGCCTTTTCTATATCCTACTTTCCTATTTCTTTTACA